CTTGTAGCGTCTTTGATAGAAGCAAGTGATAATGTGGTCAACCCATTTTGCCGATCGCATATACACTCTTAAATGTCAAAATGCGCATGCATTTGCGTTAACAATTGTGTGCAAATTAGCCTAATAAAGTTCAACCCATTTTTATGACTTAAAAAAAAAAAGGAAAGAAAATTAAGCCCAACAAACATCAAATTAGCTGAAATCACCCAACCCCATGAATTATATACAACAATCTGTAGGGTTTTGACGTTTAAAAAATAAAATAATTTTTTTGTAGAGTTGTAATTATCTACGTCTAGCTAGAGCCTCCCTCTTCTTCAATTTTCCTCTAGTTTCACTACTGAGATCTTCATGAGTAAAAAAACTTGAAGGTACATTTTCCCTTTTTATATTTCTCACCTAATCAGAATTTTGAAGGTCATTTCTCATCTGATTTTTTATTTTAGGGAAAATATTTATCAAACTCGTCCATAATTTAGGCTATAATAATTTTGAAGATTCTAATATTTTTTTTATCGAATTTTATTCTTGCTTCAATTTACTAGGAGCCAATGGAGCAAAATGATTCTTCCATGCATGGCATCTAATTCTATTTTTGAAGATAATGAGCTGAAAAAAAAGTTCCGAGGATACTAGATAGAAAATTGCATTTGTTGAAGATGTTAGTAAACCTAATGACTTGAGATGCACGTTGTGTGATAAAGATACGAAGGTCGGGATCAATAGGATTGAAATTTTGAAGGTAGGTTTCTACTTCACTCTCTTGTTTACTTTAAAGAAACGGTAAGGTATTCTTAACACGGTAACACCCTCTCCCCTAATTTTTCTAGGTGAAAACCTAAAAATCCTATATAGGCTTTGATGGGGTTCATCTAAAAAAATTAAGATACATAGTATTGAAGAAGTTTGTTCAATTTTAATTTGTTTCTTTTTATCTTAATCTTGTCCACAAGCATGCAAATATACTAGATTTGTCTTTGAAGTTTCTATAAAGAAACTTAATAATATTATTTTTAGTGAAACATTTTTTATGTTATAGTTCAACATGTTGTTGGAGCATATTATAGTTATAATTATTGGAGAAATAATTATAGATAAATTAATTTTAGTCTTTCTAACAATTACGAGCATATGATGATCGAGAACCTTACATTATCTAGCAACGTTTTACATCCACTACAACAAAAACAGCATACG